GAAATACTCTGACTTTATAGAATTGCCCAAGATAATGCTAGCCAGATTGATCTTCGTTGTGTTGTTCGTCAAGATGCGCTTACTTGACAGAGGCCATTGGAAGGCACTATTTTAGGGTATCGTCTTTGTTTACCGGAGACGACTGTTGGCCCATCGATTTTGCGGTCGTTTCAGCATATGTTGTAAGAAGTGTTCGTCTTGTCTTTTGAGAATATATATATTTTGACATCGAAAGTCTTTCGACGATCGAAATATGGCTAGGAGGGCATATTCTTTATTTGGAGGACGCTTCTAGTTGATTGGCTGAAGTATTTTATAGAAGCCTCCTTCTAGTTGTAAAAAGACAATTGTTGATTGGTCGGAGTAACTTTTCTTCATAGAGGTCACCTTTCAGTTGTAAAGAGACCTTTTCTCATGATCGTCGAATGGCCAAGAGTGCCTTCACTTTGTAGGGAAGTCATTTTTAGTTGACTTTTAAGAACACCGAATTAAACCAGGTTCCAGTTAGACGTTTGTCTCTTGTTTTGCCGTCAATTTATTTGAATATAGTAATTGCGTAACGTTCTTGTTAAATTTTCGCATGTGGGAGAAAAAAGGTAGCGACCTCATCGAGATATTACAGTACAATGATCGCGAATATAGCACAAAGACAATGATCGTGTAAGAATAAATAAGAGTACAGTGATTCTAGTATGTTCAAAGTTGTTACAAGATTCTCAAGAATATGAATTTGAACGTGTAACTTTACCAATCCTATACACATTTATAAATATAGAAAAAAAATGTAGTCTAGACATGTTTAGTAAAAAAACCTCTTTTTGTGATGTTGTTGTCGATGTTTTTGACATAGATTAGTTGTTTGCTTATTTTCATTAGAACGGGTTGATCGGCAAGTCATTCTCTTCATAGGATGATATTGGGCCGAAATATTTTGGGAGCATCTTTGCACAGATCATTTGGCGTTGGATCGATACATCGCCTATTTTGCCATTGGCTCGTGGATTGATTCTTCCGAAAAATGTTCCAGGTAGCATTATTGCACATATTTGCTTATGATATTTTTAGATCCAACATTTTTTGGCCGATCGAGGGGGTAGCTTGTGGTCTCGGCTGACCTTGATGAGTTATCTAGACTTACGGAAGAGATTTTCTCCATGGGTCATTGTTTGGCCTAGCCCCCAGGCGTGTAATAGCAACTTGGTTAGGCAAGCGACATGTTGGGCAAGTAAGATCAGGTATAAGATAGTGATCACCCAACAATTATACAACAATCGCCGAGTTGAATGATTTCAAGACATGAGGACAAGATCCGACGGCGGACTATTTGATAGGTCCTTGCCATATTTGCCCCCAGGCGTCAGACTATCGAAGAAGTTATCATTACTCTAGGATCGACGAACCTTCCACCCTCATGTTCTTGTCTAGAGTGAGCTAGTAGATCCGAATTCTTGTCGAAGGTGGACTAATATTGATTTTTGGCCACAATGTATAGATTTGGGTTTTTAGGTCGTGAGGAGACAAAGAGAAAATATTTGGATGCTTTTGTGGAGATTTTTATTTTGATAGAGTAATGATGTAATCGATGATGGAGGTCGGTTGAACTGCCCTTTCTCCTGACCGATAACAAGAAAAAGATGGTCGACAGTGTCGCCCTTTATTTGATGAGGAGGGAGAGTGTGTAAAATGGAAGAGAGAGAGTGCATGTGAAAAAACTTTAATAGGGGATGACCTTATATACGAATGAGGCCTATATGTGATCTTTGATGACCCTCCCTCTTTCTAGTGCCATTTGGTTGACGATCGATCGCCAACAGTTATTATATATATAAATTAGACAGTTTAATTGGGAGTTACATTATATTTATGGTGTAATTAATTGTAATTATTCTCAGGATGTGGACGGATTTATGAAAANNNNAACAAGACATCGATGTTGCTGATCGACTGTGGCGATCGACAAGGAGAATGGTTCTCTAGAATTTTTTATTAAGAAACTGTATAGGGGAATATTACAGGCAAATGATGAAGGAACTATATGTGTTTATTGTGTGTTTTTTTTCTTAGGATAGGGCCGATATTTATACACGAAAAATATGAAACAAGCATTAAATGTTCGGTGCCAGCTAGAAGTGTAGGGTGACACCACGTATATTCACGCAAAACTCTTCTTTTAAAGCTAATATTAATCTAGCAACAAAAGACACTCAACCTTGAGTGGTGTAGTGGTTGCATTGCTTGTCTTGCCTCCATGAGGTACCAGGTTCAAATCCTATGGGTTACAATTTTTTTATAAAAAAAAAATACAACTAACTTAGCAACATCAGACAACTAACCTAGCAACACAACTAACTTAGCAGCATCAGACAACTAACCTAGCAACAAAAGACAACTAACCTAGCAGCGAAAAGAAATAACATAACCTAACAATAAAGAACAACTAAACTAGCAACAAAGACAACTAACCTAGCAACAAAACACAACTAACCTAGCAGCAAGAAAGAAATAACCTAGCAACCTAGCAACAAAAGACAACTAACCTAGCAGCGAAAAGAAATAACATAACCTAACAATAAAAGACAACTAACCTAGCAGCATGAAAGAACAGCAAGAAAGAAATAATCTAGCAACAAAAGACAACTAACTTAGCACCATCAAACAACTAACCTAGCAGCAAGAAAGAAATAACCTAGCAACAAAAGACAACTAACCTAGCAGCAAGAAAGAAATAATCTAGCAACAAAAGACAACTAACCTAGCAGCATTAGACAACTAACCTAGCAGCAAGAAAGAACTAACCTAGCAACAAAAGACAGACAGACACTGCTCCACTCCGCCTTCGCACTCTTGTACGGATGGACCAGCTTGGATACCCAGCGTTCCGCTTTCACTAGTATAGGATTTCTATTTTCATTAGTATAGACATTTATCTCGGCCATCTGTTAGGCCGAAGACCGACTTTATATTGTAGTTTTCTGTTTCTTTTTCGCGGAGTCAACGGTCAATGGTCATAATAATATTTAAATAATTAAAAATAAAGAATTAAATAATAAAAATAAAAAATTATTATTTAAATCAAGATCTAAATCATGTGGCTAGGAATGAGTCTCACGTCCTCACTTTAAATAATGGGATGCATTGGAACCAATCCCTATATATATATATATATATATATATATATGTACATATACACATATTAAATTTAAATATTTGTAGACATGTTTTCTTTACAAAATAGTCTAGAAAAATCTCTTTTACACAATGTTAAATTCAAATGTTCTTAGATATGTTTTCCTTCTAAAATTGTTTAGAAAAGTTGTAGGTGACTTCACATCTTTCAAAAATAATATAAAATTTTTTGAATACTTTTACATATATACTAATATAATATTTTAGGTGTTTTTAATATTAAACATACAAATTTTATATTCTCTTATACAAAATAATGTAAATTTCATATTTTCTTATACAAAATAGTTTTACATTGTTTGACACCGAATATTTAATTTATAATTATTAAGTATTGTTTATCTTCTTCTTTAATTTATAATTATTTTTTTTTCTTCCTCTTTTTAAATAGGATCAATAGTAGTTTTCACTTCCGTTAGTGACTCAAACTCGAGATCTATTTATAATATTGCTAATTTAATATTGTTCCCGTGCATTGCACGGGGTACTGACTAGTTTTTTTTAATCACATAAGCAATTTATCCTTAAAATTTAACTATTTGGGTTTATCAGCATAACCAAAGCCTTTGATATAATTTTAATAAATTTCTATAATTTGGTTACCCTCATAACATAGGAAGATTTTCTCTTTCATAGTGGTAAGAATAATAACGATAATATTTTTTTAACTAGTTAATTGGTTATGGTCTTTTGAAATTAATTACAAAAATTATAATATCAATATATTTTATGTTATTAATATAATGATTCATATATAAGATAAATATAAACGATGATGCATATAAACATGATTGAATACCGGTTGTATACTTGAAAACCCACTATGTAACCAAATTACAGCATCCTTAATGAGCTAGTATTTAATATTCTCAAATAACTTTATGATATTTAAAGACAATGACTAAAAAAAAAGTCATTTTTTCTTATTCTATTGAAATTAGAAATGAATCAAAATTTCATAAAAACAACTATTCATTTTGGCCTTTTTTTTAAAAAAAATACAATCACACTAACACAATTAATATATAAAGAGTAATTATTATACATTTTATCATTTTTATATCAAATTAACATTAATTATTAAATTTTGATCTTATATTGGTTGACAATTTTATATATATCTTAGTTTTTCCAAAAAAATAAATAAATTATTTTTACCTTGTCATATCTAGTTTTTGACGAGATGAGATTTTTCACAAATTCTTATAGCAAATGAGAGGAAAAATCCATTGACACACATATATATTACCAAATAAATACACACATTTGACCCAAGACACATATACATAAATAAAATACATGTAAAGAAAACAATTATCCAAAAAGCAAACTACACCTCTTTTTCATTTTTGACTTCTTAATAACACCGACTCAACATGACAAATACAGATATACAAGAGTGCTTAATACAAACCACAGAATTTCCACACACACAATGATAAGATATATTTGTGACAAAAACAGTATGAAAGCGAATAAAAGGGGAGTGTGTAAGCAGAAAGCACGCCTACTCGAGTAGCCTAGCAGCTTATTTACAAATATATAAATAAACAAATAATGATTAATCAAGTCTGTGGGACTCACTGCTCGTCCCCACCTACACTTTAAAGAATCCCATCTGTCTTCCATTACACACCCCCAATCCTAAAATATATTGTTCCAACTATATGTAATATAATCCCCATCTATCATCACTATTCCTACATAAATATTATTATATATAAACCCCTAACTTCACACACCCTCTCTCCCACAACGCCACACACACTAGCCGCCCACTTTATATTACTATTCCTCAAATGATAAATAAAAAAATGTCCCCGCCACCGCCGTTCGCGGCGGCGCTAACCCTAATTCTCCTCCTTCCTGGGCCCGCTCTCTCCTGGAGACCCTGGCCCAACGCCACCCACCCCAATTCTACCGATCTCCTCTACGGCGGCTCCAAGAGGTTCGAGGGCTCCTCCGATCTGGTCCACCTCGACTACCACATGGGCCCCGTCCTCACCTCCGAAATCACCGTGCACCCCATCTGGTACGGCGCCTGGCAGAACAGCCAAAAGCGCATCATCCGCGAATTCATCGCCTCAATCTCCCCATCCGCCGCCTCCAAGCGCCCCTCCGTCGCGAGCTGGTGGGGAACCGTCCGCCTCTACACCGACCAGACCGGCGCCAACATATCTCGGTCGGTCCGGCTCGGCCAGGAGAAGAGCGACCGGTTCTACTCCCACGGCCGGTCCCTCACGCGCCTGGACGTGCAGTCGGTAATCCGCTCGGCGGTCGCCGCCAGGACGCGGCCGCTCCCGATCAGCCCCGGCGGGATCTACCTGGTGCTGACGTCGGGCGACGTCTACGTGCGGGACTTCTGCACGGGGGCGTGCGGCTTCCACTACTTCACCTTCCCGTCCATCGTGGGGTACACGCTGCCGTACGCGTGGGTGGGCAACTCGGCCCGAATGTGTCCCGGCGTGTGCGCGTACCCGTTCGCGGTGCCGGAGTACATGACAGGGGTGAAGCCGGTGAGGGCGCCCAACGGCGACGTCGGAGTGGATGGGATGATAACGGTGATCGCACACGAGCTGGCGGAGCTGTCGACGAACCCTTTAATCAACGCTTGGTACGCTGGGCAGGACCCGAGTGCGCCGGTGGAGATCGCGGATCTGTGCGAGGGGATATACGGGTCGGGCGGGGGTGGGTCCTACACGGGACAGCTTTTGAAGGGTGAGGATGGCGCCACGTNATTTCTAAAATTAATTTTTTTTTATCATCTATAATGCGTTGAAATTCAGAAATAAATTTAAAAACTTTTACACTAAATAATTATTAATTTAATTACTAATTTTATATTTTCCATTAAAAATTAAAGTTTTTTTTTTTGCTTAAAAATTTAAAACTTAACACGGATTGGCCCATTTAGGCCCACTCGCTGGGCCCTTAAGAAGACAGCAGGGCAAGGCGAGCAGACACGCGGGCTTTGACTTGTTTTGATGGTTATGGATATAATTAATTTTTTAAAACAATTAACTTTAAGATCAAGTTATTAGTCATATCTTTTAAGTTGTGTGTTATTATAATGCACAAATTTAAAATGTGATGTATTGGTAATTGAATGTTTCAACTATTACCAAGATCTATAATAATTTTAAAAATGACTAATGATTAATAAAAAAAAATATATTGTAATATAGACGGAGTTGGAGGACTAATTTTTCACTTATTATTGGCATTTTTTTTATTTGTCGAGGTAAAACATAAATATTTTTCTATTTTACATATGGAACATAAATGTCAAATCGTATATGGTCAAAAAATAATAAACTTAATATATATATTGAAAAACTGATAGTAGCAAAAGTTTGATTTAATTTAATTTATTCTAATATTATATAATTTTTAAGCTCAACTTATATAGATAAAAATCCACATTTATATAGAGACTCTCAATTTAAAAAAACTAACAAAGAATCTTGTTCACGAGCGATCGCCAACAACTCTTAATTGTGGAACTAAGAGAGTATAGATTTGTTTTATGAGAAGGATCGATGGGAATTATTCTACCCTATAATGAAAGAGTAGAAAAATAAAGAGCACACAAAATTTTGTCGATCTATCAGGAGATCGGGATGGAAAGTGAAATTTTCGAAAATATGATTCGTATGGAGTATTTTTGTTACAATGGTGGCTCTAGTTTTGAGCTTTTAAAGTACTGTTGTACTATAGTCTTGTTCTAACTTGTTATGATTTTTGTTTGGTGTTGGATGCCTCATTTAAACGCGAAAAAGGGTGAAATAAGTTTATGGTCGGTTGCCACCCTAATGGCTGAGTGATTGATGCGTGGTGCCATGCAGAAATTCGTCTTTTGATTATAAAATGTATTTTCTCCAGTCCTGTAGAATAAGACTGATTGGGCGGCGGGACAAGACCTCTTGGGCGGTGGTTTCACCAGCTTTAGTGGCTTTACCGGTTTGATTTGTCAGAGAGCGTTCACATATGCGATGTGGTATGTGCGTCTCATGGGCCGTACTTGGGCATCTGATGCTTAATATTTAGTGGTCAACATCTTTCCTCTATTTATGTGGGCTATTTGGAGTGCTCATACAATAGGAGGCCCTTAGGTTTTGGGTCGCCAAGGGGATCGCGAGATCTCCGTGGGGATCTGGAAAGTTGTATGCAAATTTTGGTAATCAAAAGGTTAATAGAGCAAGAAAATCATCGGATTACGTTGATTGTACGATCATAGAAGAAACTTGAGCTTTCTTTAAAGAGGTTAGAAAGCAACTAGGACAACACGTCTTTTGCGGGACAGGTGGCAGCCACAGGTGGCGGCAACGTGTGAGTCTTCACGACAACCGTCACTCAACGATTGAGCTTAGGGGTTATTCCTGTAGGCCATAAATAGGAATTTCTTCATATTTTCTTCTCGTTCTAGGGTTCTTTCCTAATAATTTTTCACGACAAGATCCTCATACTTTTAAGTAAATAAAATTTCGTAGAGTAAAATTTATTTCCCTTCTAGCAATTGGTTAGTATGTCGAAGAGTATCCATGATTTCGACATGAAAGCTTTTTGCTGGCGATGTGATCCTTGAACTTTAGCCTTGTTATTATTGATGAGGTGAGAGATCCCGTAGCTGATCAAGCTGGTAGGATAAGTCGACTTGGGAGTATGTCCGTTGGGAGCCATCACGATCTCGGCGCCGATCGAGAAGTACCAGCATCATCCTCTTGGGTAAGTAGTCGTGGAGGTGTGTTTTTGTGGAAACTTTTGGACTGATCGTCATTGGGCAAGGGGTTGTAATCTCTCATTCTTTTATGATCATCTTTTTTGTTCGAGCAAAGTGATCTAGTTAAGGATGATTAATCACTTGTAAAAGATCAGTCATAAGGTTTCGAAATTGATCCGTAGTGTGATCATCTGATTTGTGATAAGATCAATACTTGAATATTGTCCAAGGTGGCTTCATCGTGCATGATCGGACGGGGATCGAGTAAGATTCTTTTATCTTCCTGGGACTCCCTTGATTCTTGCGTTCGGTGGGAAGAAGTGTCCTTAGATTTTGTAGGAACATCGAGAGGGATCCCAAAGATAGGAAAGGACATTTATTCTTCTGCAATGATGTGTTGTTGCGCTTGCGAGAGGAACTCTTGTATTGTTTTAGGCTTGTTCTGACAAAGCGACCATCTGAAACAAAGAATGTGGTCGAAGGCCGACAAAAGCGGAAACAAGGAGGGTCTTTGGGTGACAAGGCTCCATGTTTTGGACTCGAGTGTTGAACCAGACGATGTAATCTCTCAAACTTTTGTTGTGCAACACCCCGCTACTTAGGGTCAATTTTTCGCAAATTTTTACCTTCGAAAACGCTTATAAATTTTTCGAAATCATTTGTAAACTATCTTGGGATGCTGCTAAAAGCTTTCTGCTTTAAAAATCTGTTTTCTTAAACTAGGTCTATCGACTGGATTAGACTTGAAGAAAATCAGATTAAATCTTTTATCGAATCAAGCATGTAAAACAAACCATGTTCGTACTGGCGAACTGGGTAAAACTTTAAAATCTGAAAATACTGTCATGCAAGTTCGATAATGAAAATAAACATAGCGGAAGTCTGAAATGCGTGGTCATAATATTTATACAAAACATAGTAAACAAATGTCCCTGGAACGGCTCGCTGTGCCAAATCCACGACCACAACCACCACAACTGCACTCACACCAGCCCGCCGACCCTGTCATTTAGAAAACATAATGGGGGTGAGTACTGGTCCTCTTGTACTTCATAAAAATCCATGCTAAAGTAAACAACAATAATAATAATGAGATAAGAGTACAGGTATATATAAGTAAACTGAAATCTCTCAAAACACTATGGCCGGTAACTCCCGGAACACTCTGGCCGGTAACTCCTGGATTCTCTGGTCGGTAACCGTGTGCACACTCTGATGGTATTTTTAAGGTGAACTGGGTCACCACCAGAACTTAGGGAAGACAAACTTGGCCTTGACCCTAAGCGGATAAGACTCATATACATACCTGAACATGATTACGACTATTGTACTCAATGTAATACCCAGACTGGGTCCCCACCTGATCTGCTTTGAAAATACGTAAGTGCAGCTGTGCTGGTAGCTGACTTCTCAAGCTACATAAAAATATAAGCAAACAAATATACTAAGTACTATGCTCGTCATATGCTCAATAATTTGCTAGGATGCTCTACTCTATCAGATAACTTATCCGGATATAAAGGAACGCTCTAGGGGTTTGCTAAAATAATACTGAGTCCGGAAATAAGACTGATATGCTCAACTGAACTAGACTGGCTCAGAAAAATACTTAGATTTCAAAAATCTCGGAATAAGATTTCGGAATAAGGCCCGGCCCGCTACGGGAAGGGCGGTCAGGTGCTATCTCGGACTGACCGGCATTGGTCCCACGCCGGGCGCGGGCAGGTGCGGCTGGCACGGGCCCTGGCACGACTGGTGCTGCTGGGTACGGTCCGGTGCTACTCGGGGCGGCCAGATGCTGCTGGCACGAGCACGGGCACTGTTGGTGCCACTCGGGTGTGACTGGGCATTACCGAGGCCAACTAAGGCGTTGGCGTGCTTCTGGGCACGGCTGCACTCGAGTCTGGCGCTACTGGGTGTGGACAGACACGCTGGGCTCGAGTCTGGCACGGCTAGGTGCGGGCAGACACGGCCATGCAATACTCGCGCGGCTATGGCGCGGCTGGGAGTTGAGATGCGGATGTGGCTAGGCAACTTAAGAACGCCTCAAGACGGGCCTATCATGCGCGCAAGAGGTTAGCACGGCAGGCGGGTGAGACGCAAGCCATTGCGTGCGGGGCATGCGAGGTGGGCGAGGGAGATCCGGCAGAGGTGAGCACGCGACTGGCGCGCGGGCGAAAAACTACCGCGACGGGAGACGACGCGCGTGCAACAGGCGCCTTAGGTCGTGGCACGAAAGGTGAGGTGAGTGGCGAGGACGCGGCAGGTGCCGAGGACGCGCGCGAGGAAACCGCTGAAGACGCGAGCGCGAGCAATGCGCGTGGTGGGCGTGCACGCGCGGAAATGGGCGGCGCGACCTTACTCCTCGAGGACTAAGGCAAGGCGCGTGGGGTTCGATGCGGCGACTAGGGCGGTTAGGGTTTTTTGACTTGGAGTGCAAGACAAGATTATTCAAGATTCTCCACATATTTAGTTTCCTTCTTTTCATATGATTTATAGATTTTTTAGGATACTTAATATTTTATTGCTTATTTGATTTATAGCTAGATTAAGAATAGATCTATTTGATGTCTATATAAAGGCCCTTACTCTTGTTATTTTGGATCATTCAGAAATTAATACAAAAACCCGAACATTTGTTCAAACACTTTGCTTTAGATTTCTTCTTGATTACTTTTGCAATTTTATTCGTTTCGAAGGGGGTGCAGTTGTGTGAACCTCCAAGACATCTATCGTCGGTTCAAGGCACGAGTGTGTGGCTTATCGGCAATCGGAACACGCGATCTTCATCATTGGTGCTTTCATTGAGAGTATCTAGATCGTGTATCTTTTCTTTTCCTATTCCCTTTCTTTTCCCCCTTTTATTTTTTCATTAAATCTAGAAAACCGAAACTTTAAAAGGAGTCCTCGAAGCAAAGAGCGAAAGCAAGAAAGAAAGCCATGGCCAACAAGGAGATGAAGGACAAGATCGACAATCTTGACGTTCAAGTCTGAAGCATGAGCGAAGCCATGGACACCCTAGGCGAGGGACTCGACACGACCAAGGCATCGGTTCGCGGTTTAATGGAGACCGTGAACTGGAGGTTCGAGAAGATGGCGCGCGGATTCCAACACCATGCGCGGTCACCTCCGCGCCAGCCGAGGCGCGATTGACCCGAGGAGGAGGAACATCGGCACGATGAAGCCGAGCACAAGGAGGACTTCGAGCGGCGGTCACAAGCGTCCAACGTACATGACCGCCCGAGACTCGACAAACCAAGGCTCACGCTGTCCACCTTCACCGGCATTGACCCCGAGGCATGGCTCAACCGAGCCGTGCAATATTTTGAGCTCAACGAGACCGAGGCAAACGACCGCGTGCGATATGCGGCCTACTACCTAGACGGCGAGGCTAACATATGGTGGCAATGGCTCACGAGCGTTTACCGCAACCGGAAACATGTCATCAGGTGGGGTAATTTCGAGCGCGAGTTACTCACGCGTTTCGGGACTTCCGACTACCACAACTATGACAAGGCACTTTCACGCATACGTCAACCGGCAGCCTGCGCGATTACCTGAAGGAGTTCGAGAGACTAGCATGTCGCGTAAGGGGTTGGCCTGAGACAACATTGGTCGGAGCTTTCATCGGCATCCTCAAGTATGATCTAGCCGCGGAGGTTCGATTGGAGCGACCCAACTCAATGCATGCGGCCATGGAGGTCGCAAGGCACCGCGACGATCACCTCGCCACTACTTAAAGGGGACAGGCGGACGCGCATTTTCCCGAGCCGCGACGCACCACCAACATCGTACCGAGCGTCCGGCCACCAAGGAGCACGTGACCACTGACCCCGGAGATCAAACGACTGTCGCTCGAGGAGATGAGGCGCCGACGCGAGAAGGGGCTATGTTTCAAGTGCGAAGAAAAGTTCACCCCGGGCCACCGATGTAAACAGGCATTCGTGATAGACGTCATTGATTCAGATGACGAGGAGCCCGAGATTGAGGAATGTGATGTAGAAATTGAGGTGCTCGAGGAAGAAGCTGAAATCTCGATGCACGCGATGGCGGGTACTCGAGGCCCGAGGACGATGCGGCTACCGGCGTGGGTCAAGGACCGCCATGTGGTCGTGCTCGTGGATAATGGGTCGTTGCATAATTCATCAACACCACGCTATCCCAAAAACTAAAATTACCCACGACGACGATAGAGCCGTTCGAGGTTCGAGTAGCCAATGGTGAACGGCTAAAATGCACCGAGTCTTATCGCAATGTGCCAATCAAGTTCCAAGGAGTCACCATCAAGGCCGATCTCTACGCACTACCCTTGGTTGGACCCGACGTTGTGTTAGGAGTCCAATAGCTCGAAGGTTTAGGAGAAGTGACCACCAACTACAAAACCGGAGTCATGACGTTCAAAGCGAGAGAACAACAAGTCACGCTGAAGGCCAGTTAGACCAGTGGGACCAAGGAGGTTGGTCTCAAGATTATAGAGCGGGTTTGGCGCGGGGGCGGCCAAATCTTTGCAGTTGTGGTCGAGAACGCGAGCGCGCCCATAACCGAGTCCGACCTGCAGTAGGGCGAGGTGCGCGCGCTACTCGAGGAGTTCGACCGTGTGCTGGGCAAGCCTAAGGGTCTACCACCACACCGAGAGTTCGATCACCGCATACCCTTGGTCAACGAACAGCATGCCGTACACGTCCATCCATACCGGTGCGCACACTCTCAGAAGACAGAGATAGAGAGGCAAGTCGGTGAGATGCTTGAGTTTGGGCTCATTCAGCATAGCTCAAGCCCGTTCTCATCACCAGTGCTACTAGCCAAGAAGAAAGATGGCACATGGAGGTTCTGTACTGACTATCGAGCATTGAATGTCACGACACTCAAGGATCGTTTTCCCATACCAAGTGTCGACGACATGCTCGATGAGCTAGGAGGGTCTCGATACTTTTCCAAGCTCGACATTAGGGTAGGGTACCATCAGATCCGATTACACAAGACTGATATCCCAAAGACGGTCTTTCGCACGCACCAAGGACACTACGAGTATTTGGTAATGCCGTTCCGGCTGTGCAACGCCCCATCCACCTTTCAGTTTGCCATGAATTCCATCTTCAAGGACCATCTGCGCAAATTCGTCTTAGTATTCTTCGACGATATCTTGGTCTACTCGAAGACATGGGCCGAGCATATAGAGCACTTACGTGTGGTGCTCGAAATCTTGGAGGCCAACTCATTCCACATCAAGCCATTCAAGTGCTCGTTTGGACAAGAGATGGTCGAGTATCTTGGCCACTTTATTTCTCATAATGGTGTGAAAGTCGACCCAAGGAAGATTGAGGCTATGGTCGATTGGCCTAAACCGACAAGCCTAACGCAGTCACAAGGATTCCTAGGGCTCACGGGCTACTATCGGAAGTTCGTGAAGGACTATGGGACCATTGCCATACCATTAACTGAGATGACCAAGAAAGGAGGATTCAAGTAAACCGAAGCTAGCGAGACTGCATTTGAGAAGCTTAAGGGCGCGATGACTTTGACGCCCGTTCTAGCTATGCTGAGGTTCGA